GAGAATAGAAATGGCTAGTAATAGAAGAAGAAGAAACTTCCTTTTTACTTTGCCATGAATAATAGGAAAATCTCTGAGGAAAGAGTTCTTGGCTGGTTGTATCAGAGCTTCAACATGCGATTTACTGGTAAGGCGCAACAAAAATACCAAACAGGTTTAATTTACTTGAGACCCACAATTTCTGATCAGGAGCTAGTTATGAGGTGCCAATCGCCTCTCGTGACCCCCTTGTATACAGCATGATGCATAACACATGATTTGGCCAAGAGTCAGCCCAATCCCCAAACTTGTCGCACGACTGGAAAATTGTCTCAGAAATGACCAAACACACACTGTAAGCTGGGCTTAAGTATCATATCTGTTTTAACTTTTAGCTTAGTTAGTTCTTGTGTTTAAGAGAAGCTGCAAAGTGGCGCTGTAGCTCCCATTACTCATTGAGTGACCAGATGTGACCCTCTCGAATTACATAGCTGAGTTTAAGGGAAAGGCAATTCACATGGCACATTGATGCACACCAAGTGCTGTATATTGTCCTGAAAAATCCTTTAATACATTTTAAATTAAACAAATATGTTTGTCAAAAATTACACAGAGATTCATTAATTAAGTATAGGAATATTTAGGGGTTTAATTGTAACTAAAGTTCAAAAGATGCACCACGGCTGGACTGTCAGAACAGAGATGATGACAGCAGTGTCTTTCTCTCCATCAGCTCCTGCTGTGATAGCCTCTAATGCTGGTACTATGGGGATGACAGGTGAGTGTTGCCAAATCTCCTGGTCTGTGACTAGAAGCTCCTGGAGAATTTCACGCACACCCCTTTCTTGTCTCCCATTGATTCTGCCACTTCCCATTATTGTCAATCAGAGCGTCATCGTCTCTGAGGGGGGTAGCTGTATGGCGAACGATTGTCAGGGCAGTGGGGTGCGGAGAGAAGCGTGCAGGATGCCTGCCAGAAAGCCAATATACCAGCACGGGGGCCACCAGGGGCCCCTCTCCAGAGGCTGCCTGGGCAGGATGCCCCACGTACAAGCAAGACCTTTTTGCTTAGCAACACAGAGTGCACAGGACTGAGAAGCAGGGAGACAGATGAAACCTCTTGACAAAAGGAACAGCTAAATCTGAAAACATAGTTTCCGAAGGCTGTCAGCCAAAAAGCAATGCTGCTCTCTCAGATGTGACAGCCTAGTTAGAAAAATGACATAATAACAATGACAGGACAAATGGAACAGCGGAGAAGCATTGTTCTCGGGGTTAAGGAGGGTCTTGGAGCTTACTGTGTAGCATCGCTGACCCTTTTTGGGTCATAGTTGTGTTGCTTTGCAGGCGTTTTGGTAAAGCAAGGCAACCATGCAGCAGCTATAAGCCCTGGAGATTGATGGGAGCGGTCCCCTCCCTCCCTGCACTGTAAAAGATTATCCGCTCACCCGCTGGAAACAAAGCTGTGATGGAAATTCGTCTCGCATCATCAGCAGCAAAATATCTACACAGCATAGCGGGAGTCTCTCATTTTTCATGGGCTATATATTAAATAAAAAAGGGCATTAAAGAAATGGTGAGGGAGGCTGTGTGAGCGATAGTGCTAGTTAGTATTTTTTTCTAAATGGGCCACTTGAATCAGGGAGATTATAAGGTTTTTATTGGCTGTCAGAAAACACAACTTTCTGCGTACTTCACCCGCTGAAGCTCATAATGCTCTGATTAGAATGCCAGCAGAAATGAAAAGGAATGGCTCAGCTCTGAAGGCTCGGAGAGAGGCAGCAGGACAAGCCCTGGAATCTGCCCCCCCTCAAATACACAGGGGAATACAAGACGACCAACACGCAAGCCAATAAAGCACAGAGCGAACGAACAAGCTCCTCGAGAGCTCCTGTCAGAATATATAGAGCCGGTTTCACAGTCGGATCTAGTGTCGCAGACCGGGTCTGGCTCTATTCTCAACCGGATACATGAGACACATCAGGCAGAGCGTTATCTCCCACTAAGTGAATATTGCATTCAGCTGATATGTGATATTTGAATTTCCCATTAAGGGGAGAAAATGTGTCAGAGTGAAAAAGCTCAGTGATGCTTGCTCGTTTCGCAGGAAGCGGCGAACGGACACCTTGCTATGAAGTTGCAGCGTGTCACAGTGATGATAAGGATTAAATGATGGCAGGGGGCACGTGAGAAAACTGATTGCTGTTACTCACAGGGTCACCTACACAGAAGCCTTTGAGACAGTTTGAAGACTAACCATCATTTACTAGGAACTCAACCTGCTCAGCCCAATCACTCTAATCTTCTTCAGTGCCATGAAAGTGTTTTCAGACCTCACCAGTATGGCAATAGACTGAAATCGGTCATTGTATCAACTCAAAAGCATCCGTGTCTGCCAGTTTGTTCATACTGAGCTTTCAATTTCAAGCAGTGTAAGGAAAGCGAGAGAGTCCAACATCAAACTACCAAACATGACAGAGCTGGCTCTTTCTGACGAGAGGAAGTCATTGATTTTTCCTCCATTTCACCATTAATCTGGTAGAGAAGAGGTGGCTCTGGGTGCTCAGACAGTTGATGATGTGATTTGTAACTGTGGACCACCAGCGAGCGGAGAGAATTGCTCCTGACTCTCAACACAAGGCAAAGTGACTATTGCGGTCCTCAGCATTCAGCTGGAAGATTAACAGCAGGGAATCGACTGATAATCTCCAGCGGCCGAGTTGAGTATTTTCTCTGTCAGCCTCACTGCAGCCACGAGCCAAGATTTGTATTCGCCAAGACCACAGTCACTTATCTGAGAAACTTCTTTTAGAACCACAGCTAAAAAATCTATCTTTAATTGAGGGTTTTTAATTATGTGGTGGAGATAAAACAGGGAGATATGTAAAGAAATTAGATTACGTTATACATTCTTGTTGAAATGATGTATATTTCTAAATACTGTAATGCTTACGCAGACTAATCCTACTGTGAGAATCTCTGCCCTGCCAATGCTTGACGTGAACACACCATACCCGCTGTAAATCATGGTGGCAGAAGCATCATGATGTGGGGATGTTATGTTACTAGTCTGAGTGGATTGGAAACCTGAACACTGAGATTGCAGTGGAGTATCTCCTTCCAGCAGAACATGCTCTAGCAAACTGCTTTAATACAACACAAACTGTTTCTGGAACACAAATCAGGTTTTTATTAAACACATTCAGTAGGAACTGTTTTAAAAATATATATGATTTTAGTCAACACTGACAAATGTAAAGGTTTAGAATTATTAGACTTTCAGCAGCCATTGGCAACGCTGATCACACCATCTCAACTTTCTGGAGTTGTTTTAAAGTTTTCTGCCAATCTAATCTATAAAAATTAGAAGAAATAAAGAATATCTTTGATCCCATTTATGCAGGTAACAATCTATACTGCTCCGTACTGCTCTATACTGTCACAATTACTCGAGTTAAAAGAGTGAAGGACTGACTGAAAAGTTAATTTAGTTAAGATCAAGCATCTAATTATTGCAATAGATGGCTTGCCTCCCCTGATCAATCAACAAACTAATCATTTTAGTTCTACAGTCAAGTCAGACAAAAGGAATCTTTTTTTTATATATGTGATCTTAAAGTTACTTTAAAGAACGAGCTAAATATTGCCAAACTAAGAAAGAAGGTGTCAAACAGGACCATGAGATAGTGATTTATGCAAAAGTGCTTGATTTCCTTCAGTCAGCCCAAAACTGCAGTAGAATCTTAACTGAAACAAGGAGATTGGGCTCAGATACTTGCATGTCAAGTATTTCTACACCAGTTGGCTGTTCATTTTGAATCCTTTGTTGCTTTCAGGGCTCTGCACACTCAAGATCCTTCCTATATTATTAAACTGTAAAAAACAAATCGTTCAACTCAAGCCCACTGGTCTGCCCTAAAACCAAAATTTACTGCCATTTCTAAGGACCAGATATACTTTTCTTTTTTCTTGTTTACTTTCAAACTGCAGACTTTGGACTGTGTAGGTTGTCTTTTCATTTATTTTTGTTTTAGTTGTTTTAATTCTTGGTTTATTTCATAACCATTATAGTTTTTTATTTATTGACTGTGCAATATTCTGTGCAATATGCTGAATGTGCAATATATGTGAATAGAATAGTCATACCACTACCTCACCGTTGTTCCTCATCTACTACACTTTAACTTTAAAGTAAATCCACCTGTATATAAGCCATCCGGATTGTACATATTTTTATTTTTTATTTTTATTTTGTTTTTTTCATTGTGTGTGATACATGTACACTTGCACCTTAATCCTTATTTATCTTGATATACTGTATATACCTGTATATACTGTATATATATTGTTTATTCTTAATGCACCTTTTTCCTCCTTGTTTGCACCTTCTTTAACTTCTATGCCAAAATGTGACGAGTGAATTTTTCCGCTGTGAGATCAGTAAAGCTCATCTTATCTTATCTTAACCAGCTAAATGCATTCTTTTTCACACTTGTTTTCTTAAGATCTTTTAAAAATGTCTGCAGTTCTTTGTATTTTGCTTTTTTCCCCATTAGGTTTTCAAATGTATTCTTCCTTTAATAAACACTTAACTTTTGAATTTAATCATTGAAAGGTGGTATGTAAATAGATTAGATTACTCATCATATTTGATGCAGTATCTCTAACAAAGTCAGAGCTATATTGGAATGGCCCAATCGAACTGAATTTGCTTGAATGGGCTAGTTAAAACCAATAAAGGACCATTTGCAAGCCTTAAAAACTGCATTGCATTTAAGCGAAAACTTGTTCTACTAAGTAGTACTATGACCAGCATATGTATACCTGTTCACTTCATATGCACAGCTTTTGGTTGCATAAATCCCCTTTGTAATAAAATATGAAAGGGTCAAAGAGCTAAAAATAATTTTGCACTTTGTTGAGCGTGTTTCATACACAACCATGTAGCTATTTACACAGTTCGAAAAACATATTTATGTCACTGATCAAATTAACAAAACATTAATCATCATTCCAAACCCTTCACATCACCAAAACTAATTTATTACACACAAATTCATTGCATTTAAAAATTCATAAATACTGACATTTATTATACAAAAATCATAATACTTCTGAAGCTGTCAAGCTTCCAAAACATTTAAAATACACGAATAACTTTGTTTTAACTAGAACCTTTCAAAACAATTTTATATGGCTGTACAAAGTTCACTGATGATTATGGAACCAACAAATTCAATTGTTCTACATTAGATCTATGTGATGAAACCAGGAAGGCAGCAACTACATAAATTGGTCAATACTGACTTCTACAATTGTAAAATGTCTTTTAGGTGTCGTAATAGGGCGCAGGTGCTCTCTGAAGGATTAGTAATCCTCTTTAGATAGTTTGCAAAGCAATTAGGCATACCTCCATAAAGATAGCAGCCTTAAGAGATAAGATGCAATTTGCACAACTTTTCAAAAGTGATAGCTGCCTTGGAGCCGTGATATCACAAAGATTTTCTTAAATCCCTGTAATGGCATAAAAGAGTATTAAGTAATGTATCTCCAATGCAATCTATCCTGTAATTCCATTAATACATTTAACGACCTTGTACCTAAATCCTCATTTTTTAGGTTTAAAATGATCACATCATAAACACAAGACATTTTGTGTACATTGCAAACAGCTTAGATACATTAAGTCAGTGATAATACATACATTTTATCTAACAAGGCAAGTATATAATTACAAATAACTACATTAGCTGCCAAGAAACAATAGTATAATGAGAAAAAGAATTACTAGAAAGAGGGGAAAAATGAATCCACACCAGCTTGGATGTTCTCTTTCAAAGCCTGTTTAACCCAACTGAATTTTGTCTAAAATCCAAAGGGACTTTAACAAAGTTGACACCATGAAACGGCTATAGGGAACCAGAGGGATGTTTCTGCATACAATTTTATGATGAGTACACATTAGCCTAAATAGTAGGAACAAACACCGCTAACAAGAAAGAAGCTAAAAAGCAAATTTTCCTTTGACCTACGACCCGTGTCACATAGAGCTTTTACTCTACACACATAGATGAGTTTCCAGCAGAGTTTTTGACAGCATTGTTGCTGCTCTTCCTCATGAGCTCTAAAACCTATCAGTGGACAACAGAAACTGCCGGGCTGGGCCAGACCAACCAGGCATCACTCATTCATTTACCTCCTAGGTGCCTTTGTCAGGTGATTGCTGCCAGAAAAAGGAAAACAGATCAATACATCTCCCATGGGTCTGACAGGTAATCTTTACCTGGGATGAAATATGAGTGCAACCAGCCTGCCGGATTCCTTAACTGTAACAGAACAATTGACTAGCTCCACAGATGCCATTCCCCTATTTCCAGGCCATTGTAAATTAATTTTGAGGTATAAGGTCTGGGCGAGGTCTCATTATGCTGATTGCTTATTATTCCATAGCAGGTGTTCTTTTCCTGCTGCTGACTGATTTACATTTAGAACTGATGCACCTACTGCTCATTTCCGCTGCAGGAACTGGGGCATTTTTAAGAAATAATTATTTGGCCCACTTTGTCTTTTCCTATGCAGGAAACACATACCACATCAGACTACCTAGGTTGAAATCTGCGCCAGAAAAAATGTACCTAGGAGGGGAAGTTGCAATTTTGGATGAACTCTGATCTATTGGTTCAGCTTTGCAAATCAAATTATAGAACGAGAGTTTGTGTATTTTAACCCAAAGTGCATACATTTAATTATTATCACAAAATCAGATGACCTAGTGATGTTTTAGACCCCACTGTAGTTAAGTACACAACTAACAGCCTTGATAGCCATAATTGTAACATTTACATGAATTATGTACATTAATGCCAAGACATTCCTTCTGCTGCTGCATTTTTGTAATTAAAATCAGCAAAATCTGTACAAACACAGCACTGATTCCAGATTTTTTCTTCACTTGCAAAGGCTCCAAACACCATGAAAAGGTCAAACTAAAGCAGATTTTGCAGATTCCTAGTCCAAAGACGAACAAGTGAGAGGAAAAGAGTGAAAGTAAAGGAAATCAAAAACTCCTGTTTTCAGGAATATAGCTAAAATGGTTGAGGATTACATTGCAACAGATTTTAACTTGACCAGAATCATCACTACTCTTATGGAAAGTTGCATCTGCCACAAATTTCAAATGAAATGGGCACTGATTCACTGTGAGTATAGGAAAGGGATGGACGAGATCTAGTCAACTTGACTAGAAGGCTTTCAAACCGAGTTGATTATATCACAGGGGTTACCCTCCAATACAAAAACAAAATCACATTGAAGAGGAAATTCATACATTTTCATCCATGCTCAAAGCTTTAAAGTTTCAAACATGATTGTACACAATTATGGAGGGTTGACCATGTTTAAATTTGTATATGTAAAAGTGGTTTTAATAGGTCTACCTGATCTACCGCTCACACTGAAATTGGACATCAAGGCTTCTGTCAAAACATTGATTTTTATTCAGTTATGTGTCAATGCTGCAATATTCAACGTGAGTGAAAACCTTTAAATGTGGCTTTAAAAAAGAAAACTAATTCCGTTTGCTTATCATCCAGATTATGAAGGGTTTCAACTGATAAAACTTTGGATATAGATCAAAGTTCTTTCTATGAAGGCTGTTTTCTATTATTAGTGTTTACCCTGGTAGTTTGAGTTGCCCCCTGTTCCTGCAAAGGAAAACGTGAAAAAATATCAGACTTGTATCGTTGATGTGAAAAGGAAGGAACCAGAAGTGGCTGTGAGGGTTAGAAAGATCTGAACGCTGACGGATTTCTATGCAGCATGTCTTGCGCTAGACATCCATTTAAAATAGTGTGCCCACACAGCATTTATAAATGTCATCCCACCCCAGCATGATCACATAAATCCTTCTCACATCCACTACTGCAGACATATAACTCACATTAATTAGCAAATCTAATTTTATTAAATGCAATTAATTCTTCTCTTTAAAAATGCTTTACAGTTTCTGAAGACATGTCATGCAGCTGTTGTGTTTATCGGTAAATTTTTATTATGATTAAAAATGTGATTTACTTTTGTTAAAAAAAAAAGCATGTAGTAAACCAAATCCCTTAGACTTGCTTCAACAAAATAAGTTGTTTGCATCTATGACAAGCAATTCATCAGTAACTGGAATCTTTGCTGGTAACCCAGGAAAAGATGTGGTTAATACCTTAGAATCAATTTAGATACAATTGCAGCAGAATTATATCACTGGAAATGTAGGGAAAATTCAACCTTAAATTTAAGTTCTCTTATGTAAAGAGGGGAAAAAATGTGTTTATTGGCAGTGTCATAGATACTTTTGTAATATATAAAATAAATGTAATGAGAGCTTTTTAGATTTAAACTATTTTTAGTAACTCCATATCAGTAATCCATGACTTTGTTTATTTTTGGTATAAATATCATATTTCACAAATGTCAATATCTTTTAGCGCCTGTGGTGCGCTCTACACAGGGACTCATATTACTCTCTTTTTTTTTTCTCTAATCTTTTATTTTTTACCTTTTTGTGTATCTGAATGCAACACTGAGGGGACTAATGGAAGAGCAGTGAAGTGTTGTTCTGGGGAGACTTTGTCTGTTAGACCATCACAAAAAAAAATGAAATGGGTTAAATTTAACTGGGATTCAAAATGAAGATTTGAACTGAGACCAAGTGGCCTGTTGCAAGGCAAAGACAGCGACTCTGCTTGTATGATCGCGTGTCTTGGAGCCATTTCTTGGATGTTCTTTGAGACACTAAAATGTCGTAAAATAGATAACAGCCTATTTATGTACTATCTGGTTATTGGATGCAGTGAGAAGGCCTTTTTTGTAAGTACCACATCTTCACTTATTTTGGCCAGAACAATGTATTTTGTCAGATGATGCCAAGATTTTGTATTTTAGTAACAAACACTTCATCTGGGTATAAAATACGTGAAAAAAAAATTCTTGGCAAATTAAACATTGCAGAGCATCTGTGATTATGTGGGCCTCTTTCCTTTTTAAAGAGGCTGAGAACCATGTTAAGATGAAAGACATTGTCCACAGGGTTGTTAAATACATGTACATTATAAAGCGTTATTTTTATTATTTTAAAGCGTTTGCCCCAAGTGATCTCTTCTCATGGAAAGTACCAGGGAGAGAAAGCTTCAAAGTATAAACACAGAGCTTTCCATAACAGCTTAGGGTGTTTTAATCATGACGAAGCTCTTTGAACAAAGAGCAAAATGTCTTCAAGTCAGAGTTTAAGTCCTTCTTTAAACCTTACTAATTTAGGGATATCAACACAGACATCATTAATTGGACACAAAATCTAAATTTTCGAATGCTATCTTAGTACTGAGACTGATGAAAAGCCTGTAGCCTGGGCTAAAGAGAAAGTAGCAGAAGGGCGGCTTAGTACTATATATCGAATGGGAGAGATTGTGCAGAGAAAATCCAAGAGAGCCCTCTTTCTGTACGATCCAACTTTGTAAAATGTTTGAAACTGACTGTTGCTAAAAGCTGCAACACAAAGTTTGGACACAGCTTTTCCTGCTGAATATATGTACTTAAATTAGAGGGTAGAGGTTTCTACATTTGTCATGTGACATAGTGCTACTGCACTAAAATTAATAAAAAAAAACTGAAGTGTTTTATATCCTTTTTAGGCATATTCATCAACTTAAAATCCTACTTATTTGCTTTTTTATTGTTATTTCCTTGGTTTACTCCATATGCTGCCATTGATATTTTAAAATGCATCCAAATAGTGATAGCACTGGGATATTATATAGCCAAAGGGGTTGTGAAAATACTAAATATAACTCTCTTTCTTTCCATCTCCAGTTCCTCTTTGCTGGAATCCATCAAGCTCTAAATGCAACTCAGCCAGCGCTGCAAAGAAAAAATCGGATTTTTCAAACAGACATGCTGCCAGCCTTAAACTTTAAATCCGTTTGGGGATATTTGAATATAGAAGGTAACCTGAAGAGAACAGAGGCGGCCCTCGGAGGACCGTGACTACGCTCCCTCTGTGTTGTGCTAATGAGCACCTTTGTAGCAACAGTAGCTTTTCAAATCCATGCTAATAGGAGGCCTGTACTTTGTGTGGCTCGCCAGCGGTGGTCGCCTCTCTTAACCCTCCAACAGCATGTGGCAGCTAAACATTGTGATGTTCATCTGCCTCAGAGCTAGCTGCTCTACAGCCATTGTTAGTTGCCTTAAAGTGAAGCAGGCGCCCCCTGGCCATTGAGCCTCAACTGGCTACACTTTTCAAAGTTCCTGCTGACAAGTGCTGTGCTATGGGAGTGGACATAATTACTGGATTATGCAGTGGCGGGTGGCCTGGAGCCTCGGTGTGGAAACAAGAAGAGCAGGAAAGTCTTGAGTCAAACGAGGACCCACTTGAAGCTGCCATGTTCCTTAAGGAGATGGTGGAGGGCTTAACAGGGCTTGATTGCATTAACATTTGTCATGCTTAATATACTACCTGGAATGGCTGAATCGAGCAGGAACATTCTGATTTGAAGACTAATGATGTGCTTTGTATTTTTTCATTCTTTACTGTAAAGTTTGTGGAGGAGAAAGGGGTTGTAGTTATTTCATTCTCAGGCACAATAGCTTTAAGGATTAGATGAGTCTTTCAAACTTTCTTCAAGTGTCCTCATGGTTTCTCTGGAGTAAACATGAACTCGCAGGCTTAGTAGAAGTAGGAGACCCGGGTATAGTTGGTCCTACTGTTTCTTCGTTTGGTGGGTTACTGAACGAACCTTCTTTCGCTCCTTCGTTCTGGTGATCATTATGAAATGGGTTGTTAGCTGTAACGACAGACAAGGAACATAAAACAAAAAGGTTATTCAGAAAAAATAATGTTAAAAAATGAAAAAACAATTAAATATGGATGCATTAGTAAATAATAATAGCGATGAAAGGTGAGATTTAACTGAATTTAGTTGAACAATTAAAGAAAAAGGCTTAAAACTGTGGTTCATATAGATTCAAAATGTGCAAAGTGTATCTGTATACTTTGATGATTTTGGTTTACAGTAAATAAGAACACAAACTTCTGCAGCTCAGAAACATAAAATCTATCTTTACACTTATTCAAGAAAATATTTTAAACACAGTAATGCCAGGCTAGGTTAGGTGTTCAGTTTTCTAGCCTATCAAGCTCGATAAGACCATGATCACTAAAGCAGCTTTCACTACTTCAGGAGTGTGGGAAGGTGGCATGTCCTGCTGGAGGATAAAATCAGCATCTCCATAAAACTTATCACCAAAATAATAAAGTTTATTCAAATTCATAATAGACAGCTATACTGACTTCAGAATTTATAAAAAGCAGTGAACCAACACTAACAGAAGACAGGGTATCCCAAATTATCAATGACATTGGATTTTATGTCCCACTGCTCCTCCTCAGGCTCTGGACCTTTCTGATTTCTGACAGTATCTTAACACCTGAGATGCAAAAGTTGTACCCCATCTCCTTGTGTTGTTTACAGTGGATCTCCCTCCAACGGTAGAATTGGTAGAATTGGTCACTGGGTTCACGTTACACCTGTAACTTGCCCAACTTTTTTCTTCCACTTAAAATTCTAAAAACATAATTCTAGATCTAAATAAATGTCACTCTTTGTTTACTCTCCTTGTGCATGGTATCAACAGCTGTGTTTCCATCTAAATGCAATGCAAATTTTGAGCAACCTTTTAGATAGTCGAGGAAAGAAAATTAGAGCGAATTAACAAGGCAATGTCATCATATGGCTGTAATAAACTGAAAGTGGAGTTATGTAATAAACGTTTTTTGTTTATAAAAGCTTGATTGCATATTTATTGTGTAAGGAATTTGAATGAGATATGGGTTTTATTTGAATTACCAAAATAAATTAACATTTTGATGATATTCTGTTTTTTAAATGCACCTTAAAATCTCCCCTTTGTCCCACTTGAATTAAAATGTTAAAAACTCACGGATAACTGCTTTGAATATGTTGACATAAAACTAAGCCAATCCTCTTCTAATAAGTTAAATATTAATGAGATTTTGTTCATGTGAGTCAAATCCAATTTGGCCCCATTTGACTCATGGACACGGATATTAAAAAGGCCATTTTCTTTTCTTTTTTGCTTTTTTTTTGCTTTTTAAGCCTTACAAGTTATGTAAACTGTATGTTTTTAGCACCAGTCTTTATACTCTATGTCTCGCTGCCATCTTCTCTTTAACCTTTTACCCTATTTGGTTTGGAAACATTAGAAATAGAGCGGTGCTTATTTTGAGGAACAAAGAACAATTGCACTGCCTAACCTGCATCCCTTTAATTTTTAAAATAAAGTTTTGATAAATAAACCTTTCCAGGTTCTAACCTAAAAAAGTTAGCTGCAGTCACACACCACATTTTCCAGGCAGCTCCACAGCAGGGGACAAGGCAACTAGAAGTGACATTGTGGCTGTGGGCTGTCTCACAGGATTAGGCATTACAGCATTCACCGGTATGTGCTTTAGTTCTTTTCCCTTATATCTGCTTGTGCCTTTTTCCAGATGACTTCTTCTCCAAACTGATCCGGCGGGCAAGATAATTGATTAATATTTCTTGAGGGAACGATGACTAACCGCTGCTGAGGTCCAACCCAAACACTCTGGGTTAAACATAGTCAAAGGGGCTTGATCAAAATTCAGGAGTTTTCATATTTGACAGATACAAAGAAACGACAGGGAACATTAGTTTGAGTGCATTAGCATGTGCAAGGTGCACCACATACCAACAAAACTCCAATGTGAAGGTCAGAGCCAGGACGAGACAATGCAGTCACGGTTAACAACAACAAACGTTCTTGAAATTAAAGAGCTTTTAATGAGTTTAAATATATCTAAGTTTTGGAGTGGGCCTAATTTTTCATACTTTTCTACTTTATTTTTAATAAACACTGACATATTGAATTTTGTGCTATGTTTAGTACATAAGGTTCGATTTAAATAATTTTGAAACAAACATGCACAATACATCAACTAGTAGTTGTAATAACAACAGCAATGTCTTTGTAATAAGAAAGGATTGCTTGGTTGCTAAATAATGCTTTGTATACAAATTCAGCATATAAATAATAATTTAGCCTGTGCGACTTTCACTGCTTTGTTAAGCATACTTGCACTTTATTTTCAGTGGCTCAGATGCTACAGCTCACAAAATGCAAATGAGACATCATGATAAAGAAAGGTATGAAAGAGTCAGAAAAGGAAAGAATATCAAAATCGATGTATGTAATACTATAATAAGCACTTATAATTACCTAACATCTTAACATCATTTAATCATTTTTAATGCCTGAGCCTGGGATGCTTTCATTTTACCAGGATTATAAATTTTCTGAGAAAAATATATAATTTCATATTAAGATAAAATTTCAAATCAAAAATCAGAATAATGCATTTTAAATTATAATTTTTTTTTATTGTTACATTTTATTATTGTTACTTTTTTTTTATTGTTACATATTATTACACTGTCACAAGTACAGAGCAACGAAATGAACTCTCTGCATTTAACCCATCCCCTGGGGGAGCAGTGGGCTGCCAATGTGCGGCGTCCGAGGAGCAGTGTGGGGTTAAGGGTCTTGCTCAGGGACCCAGAGTGGCAGTCTGTGGGAGTGGGGCTTGAACTCAGAACTTCTGGATTCCATTAAAAAAGTGCAATGCCATAACCTCTAGGCCACCACTCTCCTATTAAGTTATCCTGGAGGAAATTGTCAATAAACACTTATTGTAAAGTTAAAGCTATGGAATTAAAATATGTATTGCTGAAGAACTAATTGAAATAAATAAAGCCTTATGAATATTAAATCATATAAAAATTTAAGTTAATGGTTGTTCTGTGCACTGAACTGGTCGTCGAGGCATCTGATGAAATTGCAATATTTCTGTAAAGTGTTTGTGCTGGGCTCTGATCAGCATGGCTAAAAGAGGAGCAAGCATGTATTGGATAATTTCATAGCATTTAAGGTACAATACATATTTTAAAGTATATGTATAAAATACTTTAATATATCATGGCACAGCAAATCATTTTAATCTAATCTGGTTTTATTTCAACAATAGTTAAAATATATCTATAAAAAAATTGGAAAACCCTAATTCTGCCTACTTTGCAAATAATTTTTACATTTTTCCTGAAATGTTTAAATTGGACATTATTTGTCATTCTCAAGGGTTTCTAAAGGTCTGTTAAACATTTCCTTTAGACTTTTTCAGGCATCGTTGTTGCCTGCCTTGTATCAAACCATGACAGCATAGAAGATGCTCTACTGAAAGGAAAATCAAAGACAAGTCATTGAGAAATCAGGCCTGAAAAATGACCTGGTGCACACAAATAGTTCTGTATCTTATCATGTCTTGACACAGGTTGTTAAAGACAAAACACACAACTTGCATACAACTCTGCAAGTTCCGATGCCTTTTCTTTCCTGGCACACTACACACAGCAGCATTTTTGAGAGAATTTGTATCAGAAAGTCCTGCAGCATAAACAAGCAGGGTAGTAAAAGTTAATGTGAAGGTGCTGCTCTAACTAAGTCAAAGAAGATTGCTGTTTTATTCTGTTTTCTGTACTCTGGTGCTCTTACCATGGGTAAACACACTGTTTATTGAAATGTGTTATTGAAATGGCATAGGGCTTTGAAAATGATGTTTTATGGCATATTTTTTTGCCATGTTTTTATTCTGAACATGTATTATATCAAGTTTACAGAGGCAACACATTTACCTCACCAAGTGTATCAAGTTCACATTTAATATCAGGTATTTACTAAGTTTCCTTTTGTGTGTAGACATACTATTATATTAGTTACTGTAGGTATTTCTGGAGTCAGTTTAATTTAGGATTTAATCACAAGAGGCGAACTGAAAAAATAGCATCCAACTTGAAAACCAGCATCGTTCTTCCATTTCATGACGATGGGCTGCTTTCTTTGTTTTGATATATAACAAAAAAATATATCCTAAATAAACTTAAGGTTATGGAAGCAAATTAACAAAATATGAATAAAAACATTGAGGTTATGAGAAAGACTATAATGTACTGTACACAATCTAATATAATATCTTATATATAATATAAAATTAACATTATTATATGTATTTATATGATAAATTAAGAAGAAGACTGAGAAATTTGTCGCACTAGTGAAGAAATAGCAACACTTGCAATCAAGCAGTTTTATACCAAGGTCAGTAAAGAAATTAGAATACAACGATTCTCTGACAGAGGGAGAATTACAGTACATACATTTACTGTGGGTGATAATGGGAAGTTGAATGGAACCACCTCACCATCTTAATAAGCTCTTATGAGATGCTCTCTAAAAACAATCATTACAGGCCTTCCTGGAGCGCTGCCTCTCCCCCTGTTTATTAATCAGCTAATTACACATTGACAGTAATGGGGCTGCTGATTCCCACACTTAAATGAACAGGGTTGAATGGCTCTTTAATGATTAGCCTTTGTGTTTCTCTCTCTCTCTTCTGCCCCCACTCATGAACACACACAGACTGCTCTTTTTACAAATGCAGAAATAAGATGTTCAAATCAGACCTCCCGGCACACAAGTGAGTCAAGAAGCACCTGACAGAACAGGCTGCTTAAAACAAATATGTCTCCATAAAGTCAAACAGAAAACAATGTTTATGCAAAGCGAGCTGTTAAGCGGGGCCTGTATATCAACCTGCATTGATTTCTGTGTAAAGCTTACCCTACAGCAACATCAACCTGCTCAGCCCCCCTCAAAAACACCTAAAAGTTTGGTGAAGGAGCGCAGACAGGTG